CTTTTTCTTCTTCTTTTCACATATCTTAAAAATATGAGTGAAAAAATAAATTATTAATAAAATATTAAAACAAGGAAATACAGAATTAAATGTGTAAAAGATGATATAAACCATATAATGGGGATTGACATCGCCTTGTACGCCTCCATTCTTTGTCCGTTAAAGGGATCCACAATGGTGGATCAAAGTTTATAAGTAGGATTACTTTGAAAAAAAAAATCTTTAAAGTTCTTTTTTTCTCGAGAACAGCAAAGCTGTGATTGGTCATCGTTATATGGAAGCATTCCTGGGAAGTGTATAGATTTAAGTATTTAAGTTTGTTGAAGTCATGACACCCAGGGGGGGGGGGGTGTAGGAATAATGCACTATGAGAAAAATCGTTACAATTCTTCACAAGAACAACAAAGGTCATTAAAATGCATCAAAAAGGTTATGTAGATGTAAATCTGTTCAAATCATGACCAATCCGGAGAACAGAGGAGCCATCAAAGTGGATCATTACAAAGGAATACTCAGTATAAAGGCTATATCAATATTTTTTTCTGAATCATCTTATAAATATAAAAGTCAATTTGTGTCTTATTAATTAAAAATTAAAAAACATCCTTAGGAAGTCTAAATTTAAGTTTGTTTAATACCCCCTCCCCTTAACCCACTTTAATTATATACATGAATATATTTAAATTTTTCAACACTGAACTGATTTTTGCTTTTACCTAGCCAGTTGCTCAGGTGAGCGATGTGACCCCTGGGTCTCTTGCTTTTAATTGGACAACACAGTTGAGACTACACAGCTTCATTTATCACTTAATTTTGTTTTATACTTTTATATGGTTCCTTCACAGTGTTGTATTATACTCAGGTGACTGTTAAGGCCCTTAATTTAGCCTGGGGCCACAATGAACCATTTGTAGGAGTTATCGTTCATAGGGAATGTACATTATATGTGTAGTTATTAGTTAATCATGTTAATGTGTAAAAAAAATTGAATTGAACGCTTTCGCCAGGATATATTTTCAGTAAATAAATAAATAAAAAGATAATTAAATATGCAAATTCATAAAAGACTGAATTAAATCATATTATAACTGAATCATAAAATCCATGACTATAAAACCCAGTTTCCTGAATAATTACAACATGCATAAGGTGTATACATTTTCGAAAAAGACGTATTTATGATTGGCCGAGAGATACAGGTTAATATCTCTATTGTGCGAGAGATACGGAGGACGGTGCAAGATAAATATATGTTAAAAAAAATATCAAAATGAATTAACAATACATTTATTAACTGTGTTCTCGGGAAAAATGCGTTTTGTCGACCCTCGAACCAAACAGTTTGGGTATTGACAAAACGCATGTTGCCCTCGAACTCAGTCAATAAATGTGTAATATTTCTATTGTACAAGATATACAGGGTAATATATCTATTGTACGAGATATATAGGGAAAAAGTTTTATTGTAAGAGAGTTGTAAGAACATTTTTTTATTGTACGAGAGATAAATGGTTATACAAGTATTTCTATTGTACGATTTATACAGGGCAATATTTGTATTTTACGAGATATACAGGGCCAAATTTCTGTTGCACGAGATATATAGGGCAATATTTCTATGGTGCAAGATATACAGGGTAATTTTTGTATTATACGAGATATACAGGGCAATGTTTATATTTTACGAGATATACAGGGCAATATTTGTATTTTACGAGATATACAGGGCAATATTTCTATTGTACGAGATATACAGCTAGGGCAATATTTCTATTGTACGAGAAATACAGGGTAATATTTGTATTGTACGAGATAAACAGGGTAATATTTCTATTGTACAAGATATACAGGGCAATACATGTATTTCTGTTGTATACAAGACATACAGGGCAATATTTCTATTGTACGAGAAATACAGGGCAATTTTTCTACAGACCAATATCTCTAATGTGTAAGAGATACATGTACAGGGCAATAATTATATTGTATGACAAACACAGGACAATGTTTTACTGTATGAGAAATACAGGACAATGTTTTACTGTATGAGAAATACAGGGCAATATTTTTATTGTATAAAATATACAGTGGTACGTATTGCTATACTGTTTTAGAGATGTATGGCGGATGGTATCGCGATTACGTTCTTGTACAGAGGCCTTGCTATTATGTTGTAAATTTTGCATTTACCTCCTGGCCCCTAGTATACTAGGTATTCAAAATTTACAAACATGATATTGCCCCTAGCCCACCCTGAATCTCTCAATAGATAACTCGTACTCTATAAATATCAATAATTTTAAAAAGAAAAATGAAATCAACAACATATTGACCAGAAAAGGTTTGATTATGCATAAAGTTTTTTGGCAGTTTGTAGTATTTGCAATATATCACTAGTACTTTTAAATTCACTTTCACATAATCTTTAGTTCTTCATGATTTTTAATTTTATTTGAATTTTTCAAAGAAATCTTTTAATGCAGCATCATAATAACACTTTTATTATAAATACTGATTTATAACAATGGTATTTTTTACTCAATAGATGTTCTAAGGCATGCATTTAAACTCTGGTAAAAGTTCGATATCCGTTCCGATCCCGGAAGCTGACCTCACAGAAAGTAACTGTTATCACTATTGTATATTATGCGGTTTTGCATATATCATATATATATATACAAAAAAAAAAAAAAAATCCTGTGTTTGTTACTGAAGTTAGTAATAAAACGTCATAGATTATCTTTGAAGAACTAAAGGTCGGTAGCCGTTACTCGTCCTTGGTCATTTATGTCGTGTATCGTAATCAATGATCCTTGGATTTCTATATATCTACTGCGAAGGGTGACCCGAAATACGATAAATTATTCAAACCAGATAGGATAGCGGCGGTATACGCTGTGACCTATATCGATTTCAATTCTGTGAAATGCGACCCCTTAAAAACGAGAAATACATGTAATTAAAACACACAGTCTATATAAACTTTAATCCGAAATCGTGACAAAATTTAAAAAACCGAGTACCACAGACCCTATGTAAAGACTTTATTGATTGATTGTTATAATCCTTATATATAAAAGTTATTAGCAATATAGATTGAAACGTGTGCCAACGTGTGGATTTTTTTTTAATGCATTGAAAGTACATTTAAATTTATCGATCTTTCACTCTTCTGTGTAAATTTTCTGTTCTACGACACACAAGACCCCTGGAATATCGGTTCATGTGAAGCCTCCGCTTGTGTACCCTTCTCTCCGACGGCTACAGCGAAGAAATGGGGGTCTTACACTACTCAGGAAGAATTTTACAAGACCAGAAAGCAAAATAAAATTCATCATCTCTTTTTTGTCTCATCATTGGATTTTAAACGCTTTATATATTTTCTTTGACAGGAGCAAAAGAGTTTGGCCTTTTGGAGTTTTCACTGACATTAACTTTACATTGTGTCTCTTGGAGTTTTTATTATAATAGGGTTCTGCAAAAATGACTTGATATTTGTGAAATGGTGTCAAAACTCGGTGATCGACAGAATTTGGATTTCGTATAATGGAAAATGTTAACTTTTGTATATTGGTAGCGCTTCTTGCTGAAATACAGGTTAGTATACAAACAAAATTTTACTCTTTGTTCTATTCCAGTAAAATCAAGTAAAATATTCCAATATTTCGCCTAAATAGGGACAGGGGTGTGCATAGGTGCGGATCCAGAACTTTGAGAAATGAGGACGACAGGAAATTGCAACCATTTTAATTTAAATTTGGGAATCGAGTGGTTCTCATTCAAATAAGTGCTTCTCGGTCAAAAATAAAGTTTACATATATGTGCATTGAAAATTGAGGTTTACCTTTTTTGTTGGTGTAGCCCCCCACTTTCAATTAGCCCCCCCCCCCCCCAACTCTCAATTTGCTTCCGACGCCTATGTGTATTTTATCAGTTAAGATTTTCCCCAATCATATATAAATAAAGATACGTACATTTGAATTTAATTCAACTTTAAGATAAAACTAAGGCATCAAAAGGTATATCTGAAACGAATGGAACGAGATAGATTTCCTCTGTAAGAGAATGGACATATATTACTTCATAGATGCAAACACTATTTAAAAAAATCTTTTCTACTAGCTTTTAATATGTGAAGAAAAATGAAAACAAGACGTCAACTGATATTAATATGTTAGGAGGCATTTTGTGTTTATAAAGATTGTTGCGATTTTATTTTAATTCATAAAGAAATAAATAGGCTTACAAGGGTACAGACAGAAATTAATAAGAAAGATTTTTATGTATAATACTTTATTATACCTATTTATACGTTTTATCCGTTACTACAATTATTCCTTAGTAATCTCATGATAATTATATCACTAAGTATATTGCATTTAATTTCGTAATCGGTGGCAGTTTAAATTTTCTGAATTAAGATAACTTGACCGTCGATAATATTTTTTCTTTTTCCTCTTAAAATTTACGAACAGCTTGTTGATTAGAAAAGCCACATATATAGGGTAGGGAATTCTATGATGTTTTTCCGTTTTTTTTTTCTTATTTTGTTTTTGAAATGACGTATTAAACTTTCTTGTTTCCTTTCCCAAATTTAAGTGGATTAACTTCTCTACATATACCTTTAAATTAATCTGAAACATTGGAATATATTTGCACTGTATACATTCAAAACAATCTATTCTATGAAACCATTTTAGCGTGATATATTCTAAATCCCCCGTGTTTACAAAAATTCGACGTAAACAAATCAAAAACAAAATACCGTGCCTTAATGAAAGGGTCCAATTTGATTAGTTTATCAAGAGAGATCTAGAAAAATTAATTAATTGTTAAAAAAGGATAATAAGGTTTCATTGATTGCTTTTTATTCGGGAAGGTAAAAGCCAAACAAAAATATAGTCAGAGATAAAAAGGGGAAAAAACTACTAACATATAACATTTTTGTGATTTGTCGAATTGTTATGATTTTCATCAATATTCTTATAGTCCCGTTGTAAACGTATATCAGTTTTATAAAATTATTATAAGCAACAGCATGGTAAACAAACAAACAAACAAAGTAGCTCCCTTTAAATAAAAACACAACCACTCGTCTTTATTTTCCCTTTTATTATTTTCTTGCTTCAGTGTTTTATTTTCATTGCCTTGCCAATTCTTTGAAAGCATTTCAAAAACACCTTATATAAATATATATACATGTACAATGTACTCTAATGCGAAATGTTAATGAGAAATCAATACGAGAGTTGTATGTTTTTCTAAAAATACCCCACATAAAACAATGTTCCAGCTGTAAAAATCATATTAGAATAGAATGGTCAAATATCGTCAGTAGTACGGGATAAAGGGGGCAAAGTGGCCCAAATTACACCCGACTCCTTAACTGTACCTAAATATACCAGTAAATGTGTGTTTATACAAAGATCAACAGGTCACTTAGTGGTCAGCCGCGGATCTTCTACTCACTGTTATGAAATGAACAAAACTTTATTAAAAATCGAAATCCCCATAATAAAATCAAAAGAGTTTACATGCATGAGATTCCTAAGTTGTCAAACGTTACCACAGAAAACTATCATTTCTATGGAAAAATCCTCTTAAACAAGATGTGTTTGTGAAACATTATGCCCCCGATGGTAACACAATTCTGGAGTGGGACGTAGACTAAAGTGGTATACACTTATCCTTGGCAGGGCAATCGTTATGGGCTAGGTTAAAGTTGACAAACGACAAACAGGACAAAAACAATATACCCCTGGAATCTTTCGATCCCGGGGCATAAAGAGGATAATTATAATATTATACTTTGAAGTTCATGTTAACATGTATATCTAATGGTGAAATCTATTTGTAGGTGGCATTTGCTTGCGAGGACGGAAGTAGTAATGATTCCTGTTGGTATACTTTTTGGTATGTTTGGTAAGTTTTCCGGTTCTATCAACTTACTTCCAGTTTTACCAGTACTCCATTTCCAGTCACTACCACCATGACCTATAAAGTTTGGCATTTTTATGAATCAAATCTTTGGTATGAAAACAATTTTAGTTTTTTTTCTGTTCATCTTAAATAATTACTATTTGTCCCCAGCACGAAACTCAACATTGTTAATAACAGAATCAATCCCCAAGAGCTCTATGAGACGGCATTTTTATGAATGATCAAATCTTTGGATATGATATTTGCATGTACTTTTGGCATTCTTGTCATTTGATTATTTGCAATATTTGAGTTATTACACATTTATTATTTGTAAAATGATGTTAAAGAAGGCACAGAATCCTTATTTTCCGATTATGATCAGTAGTACATGGCGGATGTGACCAGTCGGCAGGGAATGCTCACTCCTCCATGGCACCTGACCCCACCACTGATGTTTTGGAGGTCCGTGTTTGTTCTGCTCCAATTTTGTTTTGTTTACTGTTCGTTATCTCCATATATTGCACACTTTATATTTTCAAAAAAGATGAAAACAATCTGAATAGAAATGAAAATTACAATTTTTATTTCATAATTTATCTGCAAACAAACTTATGATTTTACATATTTTTCTTCCAATTGTAGATGATTAAATTTTAACATTTATATTCATTTCTTTCATTATTGTTTTGTTCACTTCAGGTTATTTTCTTAAAATACACATGTATTGTACTTTTTAACAATCCTTTTGTGTCAATTATAAAACCCGGAGTAAACGCCACCATATGCATTAAACGAAAGTTAAAAAAGCTTCAAGAATGTTCTTGGAGAATATCTGGAAAATTACTTGGTAAAAAAAAAGCTGCTTCTACTAGTCAGATTTTATTATTGGCAAAGGTAGAATCAAAAAGTTTATGTACATAGTCCATATAGTCAACGATGTTTGAACAGCATTATCATGTAAACGGCAGACGTATATTTACACGTTTATAAAAGATTGCAATGTCAGAATCCAATTCTGGAAAGGAAAACATTGTCAGTTACTGTAAGAATTGTATTCGAACTAAATTGGTTTAAAAAAACCCCCAAAAACCAATACATTGAAACTCCAGCTGCACTGATTCACGGCTAAAAAGTAATGGCTGACACTAAAATCGGAAGAATAATATTTGCGCAGCTTTTGTCTCATTCCGCAGATGATTATTTCGTAGGTAAGATGATATCCCTCCGCCGATGAAAATAGATCCTCATACAATTAAACAGAATCAGACTGAAAAGAAAATCAAACAGAGAGAATACCATGATTATTGCTCAGCAGTGCACAATTAATGTCTGTTTAATTTGCTCTTGTTTAAATCCTGGAGATGTTTATAGTCAATACATAAGGACATTGTCAACTACCTCGGACATAATGAGAAAAATGTGAACATTACGTCATAATTGTAAAGTAACCATAACTTTTTCTAGAGTATTTTAACCTCTATATAAATCTTCTTATATCCCAGTTTGTTTTTCTTGGTACCATCGAATTCAAGTTTAGAAAGTTTGACCCATATATTAAAGATATAGAATAGTGTTTAATATAACATACATGTATCACTTTTGTGTTTTAGGGTCGCTCTCGGACTTTTACATGTATCTATTTTGTGTTTTAGGGTCGCTCTCGGACTTTTACATGTATCTCTTTTGTGTTTTAGGATCGCTCTCGGACTTTTACATGTATCTCTTTTGTGTTTTAGGATCGCTCTCGGACTTTTACATGTATCTATTTTGTGTTTTAGGGTCGCTCTCGGACTTTTCATCACAGTATTAATCACCATGGTTATAGTTTATTACAAACATAAATGGTCCAAACGAAGAACGCGCGTGCGCAGAATAGCAGGTGAGTCACAATACTGAAAAAGAATACCTGTACCTGTAATCAAAGCGTACAATTACAAAAAGTCAAACAAGATGCAATATTGCTTATTATTATATAGTCTATTTATAGTCCCTATATAATCTATACAAACGCAAACAGTTCATAACACTACTTATTCACCGGATTTTAGGCCGTATTCACCGGAGGGTCAATACGCGTGCAACGGCATTGTGACGTCACAATCAAAACATCGAATAACGTTGTAAACAATGGTTGCAACGGCCGCAGCGAGCTACGTATCTGAGCAGGAAAATAATTATTCAAACCTATTTCAGGATTATTCTTTAATATTTGGACGTCTTACACATAGCGAAACTCGGAAAGGAAAATACGGAGGTTACAATCAGTAATCTGGAGATATTTTTTATTTTCAACAATGGAAGATCGCAAATCAAAATGGTGCGCAGAATACAGCATTACAATGTCTGAATCTATTCAAATACATGTACTATATAATAAAACAAACAAGGGCAATCTTTCGGTGTTGAAATGGTTTGTTATTCACCAGAAAAATATCATTTATTGACCTTGGCTTCGCTTTCGGTCAATATGAAAATTTTTCTTGAATAACAAACCATATTAACAAATGTGCTCCAGGTTCTTTGTAAATAAATAAATCAAACTATTCTCTCATAATCATCATGATTATGTACCGTATAAGTAGAATTTTTAGCGAGGATTTAATTTGGCATTATTAGCGAGGAGCCGAGATCGCTAAAATTGAATATCGCTAAAAATTAATTGCGTTTTATTTGAAATAGCTCCTTGAATGTGCATTTTAAAATCGCTAAAATAACATCTCGCTAAAATTAAATTACCAGTTTTTAAGGACAAATCATTAAATTTGCGTCTCGCTAAAATTTCCACTTATACGTACGGTATTTAAAAGTTAAGGTTTCATCAAAGTCCAACATGTCCAAAAAATTACTTTTACAATATAGCGCCAAAAGAATGCAAAGTATAACATGTAAAGTAAAACTTTTATATATCATAAATACATGTATATCATTGTTTAACAGACAGAAAGTAACACTTAAAAACAAATATTTAAAAATAAAAATTATCGAGAAAAAATTAATATATCAAAGCATTTGCAAATTTTACAAAATGCACCTGCTAAACTATGTAATTTTCGTGATAACCATCATTGCAGAAATATATTTTATGTTTATCATTGAAGGGCAAGTAGGACGTGAATTGTCTTTGGAAGGCTCTTATTAAAAGAATGACATGTTTAAATACAAGATCCTTATAAAATCCGCCATTTGCAATGTACTTTCGGTTTCAAAATAAACAAAGAAACAATTTTTCAGAGGCTATCGAAGTCTTAACTTGGCCTTTATTGATTCACATGTATATTTCCTGGAATGGTTTTCACTAAAAGTATGGAATTATAATTAGGTGCAGGTTTTAAAATTATGGTCATTTATGTTAAAGAATTATTCTCGATAAATATTTTTTATTGAATATTTTGTTCTTAAGTGGTACTTTCTATCTGTTAATCAATAATATATTTATAAACTGTAAAGGATTCAACTTTATTTATCATATCATTTTGGAGCCATTGTAAAAATAAATTTTTGGACGTGTTGATCTTTGATGGAACCTAATCGAATTTGACATAGAATCAAGTATACGATATTACGAATTTGTTATATAATTAAATTATATTTGAGCGTGTTATCATTAGAGAGAGAGAGAGAGAGAAATGGGGAGGGAGCATCAAACGGGAGACCAAAGCCTAGAGAGGATCTTACAAGGAACAGAAATCGATATTTTATTAAGTTTTGGGTAGGAACCTTGGCAAACAACCCCACATAAGTAAACATGGCACACACTGGCTTTCAGCTGATAATCTTAACACCCTTTCATTAGAATGTTAGCTTGTGTATTTGCTAAGATATATAAATGGGCGTGAAATTGTTTTACCTTTGACATACTGGGTAGAAATGATCAACTTACAATAGTACAAATTCGAAAGTTAAACATTTTCAGAACCCTTCTGAGTAAGTTCAAAAAACCAAAATTAGAATCAGTTAATGATTATCACTAATTCAGGCTTAAGATAACAGCATGTCGCTAGGATTTCTCCTTTAAATTCCGTCTTCAATACCACACACCAAGTTTAGTTAATTGCAACCTTGAATGATTTCAAACTGAAGAAAACACCAATACTTCAATTATGCTTTTAAAATGTTTTTTTACAGTAACATTTTACACAAGTTAAATATTTACATTCACAGAATAGATTTCCCTTTTCTCTTATAAACACGACCATTACCATTAATCAATGCATAAACGACACTAAGCAAGTCACGTGCATAGATTTCTAGAACAATGGCTGTTCCATCAATTATGCATACACTGATATATTCATCTATAACACAATATTTAATTTTACTTGAATTTTTTTCAAACAGATGTTAATATAAGAAATAAAATGTTTTTGTTTGTTTATAAGGGAATTAACGATGCAGCTATTACAGGAAAACATCACACACACGCTTACGCGGTTTTATTTTTTCTACAACAGCTGCAATTAAATCCCGTATTAACAGACCTAGATAACATTTTATTATTTTAATAAAGGAGCGTGCATAATATTAGTTAGAAATCGATAAATGATGGAAATGCATTTAAAACTAGACACAAGAAAACGGAGAAGGTCTCTTGTTTTAATTTCATTTTCTAATTATGAATTTCATGACTGATGTTTTAATTTGTGCATTTATAAAACAAAAGGATTTAAGAAAGGACTTTATTATTTATCGACCACGTACTTTTCTGCAAACAATTTTGAGCCTCCTTCTGATTTTACAAGATTTGACCTACGTTTTACATTTTAAATTCTAATCTAATTTAATGTATATTTCAGTTGTTCAGCCACAAAACCCCCCTCCTTACGATGCACCTAGCCAACTTCCTCCAAGCTACGAGGATTCTCTCAAACACACTGTTGCTATAAATATACCCGGATATAACATGATAGAAACGAGGCCGGTCATAAGCAGGGGCCATCATCTTATTAATGGTGAGCTAATTCACACAATCCCATTATATCTTGCTGTTACACAGAATTGTATATTATTGGAGCAAGTCAAAGGTTTTAATTGAATGCAATTTACTAGTATCTCAATGGAGATGCCAGACAAATACATATGTACACATATTTTAAATTATTTTTAAGTGCCTAGTTTATACACATATATTCAAACCACGGAAGAAAATTCTTATGTTTTTCTTAAAATGTATGTTAAGATATGGCTTAAATACTTCCGATTCCGCTTAAACATAACAGACAATCGTTCTATCAATTAATTACAGCAATCAATTACTACAATATCTCAAGTACTCAAGGAGCGCAAACACAAACGACAGAATGGGTCGTAGGTTTATATTTTGTACTGTGTTTAAAAAGGCTAAGTATAATCTATAAAAATATTTTTATTTATTTTCAGTCCATAGTGCCACTCAACAGAATTCCAGACAGTCTCATTCACGTGATGCAAGACAAATTCAGTCACGTGATGCCAGACAAGTTCAGTCACGTGATGCCAGACAAGTTCAGTCTCGTGACGCTAGAGAGGTTCAGTCCCGTGAAAGTTTGTTCTCGATGCCGCCAAATTACGATCACGTTACTTCAAGTAGAAGCTGATCCACCAGAAAGACTTTCATCTTTTACATCTCATGTATATGTCGAGAAAATAGAGGACTGAAGACTAGCGTGTATAAATCGGAAGAACTTGTCAAGGCGCATGTGCAATGAAATAGGAAGTTGACCTCCGTCCAAACATTATCACAATCTGTGATAGATATTTAATCCTGTTGAATTGAATTTTTGTTATTGTTTCAAATTGACTGACTTTACCTGTGATATTTAAGTTATTTTTTTCATGCTGAGAAAGGAACGTTTTACATAAGAACATCGTTGTTACAGTTGCGACAATGATATTGTTATTAGAAATTAAAGAGTGTTTTATTTTTATCGTTTTACAAAATAAATTCATGAATTTTGTTTACTTTGTTTACATACTAGTATTCCTTAAGTCAATGACATACGACATTTCTGAGATAAGGATACATGTACTACAGTTTCTCAGAGTTTTACTTACCGAATGCATTTCCTTGGGAGAGAGAAAGAAAGAAAGAGAAAGAGAGAAGAAAGAGACAGAGTGAAAAGAGAGAGAGAGAAAGTGAGGGAGAGTTTGGTTTTAAGAAACATATAAATCTTCTTAACAGACTTAATAATCTTTGACCTTAAACCGTTATAATTATGTATGTAACATAAGCAGCGATATATAGTGCTTAATTAGCTGAATTGTTTTTTTTTTAAATTATGTGATGGTAGCTAATATTATAACTAATTTATGTTTAAAGTAACTCTCTAAAATTCCGTTCTTTAACTTGCAGAATATTATCCAGTCAAGGTTTTAAATAAAACCATCGGTATTCTTCCGCAAACATCTCTAAATTCCATTCATACTCGAATATATTTCTGCAAATGGTCACAACTTGCTTTGATACATGTATTACGTTGACACATGGTTAGAATTGCTAATGAGGGCAAAATTAAATTTGAATACTTTCGAATTGAATTTTTAATTTTCTCTAAAAAATACTAGTTGGCAATTTCTTCAAACTATCAGGAACATCAAATACTAGTATGTAACTCTGGCGAAGGATAAAAACAGTTTTGTACCAATAATCAATTCATTTAATGAATACATGTGTATAGACTTATAAAATGAAGAAAATGATGTCACAACAAGAATATAATTCGGGTAATTTCAAGTAAGTTAAAAGCTGATAGTGGAAGATCTTAAAATGCAGTTAAGGATATCCGATCCTCAGCCAGGGAGGATAACTAAAAAAAAATAATATTTAATTTGAAATGCATCAAAATGAAACTTGAACCCTATAAGAGGAAAAAAAAATCAAACAGTGTTAGAGAAATAAGATTTTCTTGAATCCAGCCTTAGATATCAATGCTTATTAGCATGATATGAAATGAGAAGTGATCTGTGGTGTCTTGCAAAGTTAGCAAAAGTCTTCAACACTTTGTATTATAGAATACATGGCGGAAATAGAAGACAAAAAATACCAAATAAGAATAAACATCATGGCAATTTCTCTGAATCCCTGGATACCTATCGTTTTTTAACCTAAAATATATTTGTTTATCAATTTGCAATTAGAAAATGCATTGCTGATATTCCAATTCGCTTTTTCTGCAAAAATAATAAAGATTCGACAATTTTTCCTATATAATATGATTAACTTTTATGAAATACTGCGGATAAATGTACATAACTTTGTGGATTCAGAGAAACTTTTATGAGTATTTTTGATTACTTAACTGCTTATTTTATAAACTTGAGGATCGGACTACCTTTAAAAAGAAAATAGCTTTGAGCTCCCTTTTTCATTTTTTTTGCATCAAATTTATATAAGGTATCTTTCTTAAGTTAGAGTTATCAGAGTAAGTTTCATTTCAGAAACTCAGAGGTATGAACGTTTTAATTTAAAATTATTATACGTGAATAAATCATTTCTGAGTTGAGTAAAATTTCCCTCTCATGATCAGGGAAGTTATGTTGTTTCTCTAGAAACCCATAACGTTGTCCCTTTGCCCATTGATCTTTACACCAAAACGGATTGAAATTAAAAATACTGTAGAAACACAAATTTTCGTTGGAATAAAAGAGGAAAAGTCAAAAAGTACACAAATTGGCCTGATTTCAAAATAGGACAGTTTTGCCCCTGGATATATCTACAGACTATATATTCTTTCAGAACAACTTTCTTTTTTCAATATCTCTTTCATATTTTCTGTAAGAGGTCTTCAAAATAGCATATGTATATGGCCGAATTTCGTACATTTTCCGGAACGTCATAATGACTTTGTGAAATTTAACACTTCTGAGTTCTCATAAATAAAGTGGTAAATATTTATTAATTAATGAGAATTTGACAAAAAAGTGTTTTACAATGTATTCAAATAGTACTTTAACATTTTGTTTATAAAAGATAACTTAATTTGAAATTTTAACGTCAAGTATAAACAAGCTTAGGTACATGTACAAGTGAAAATGACAGCGTGTCCGTTTAGCGCCTGTGTGTTTATCGCGGCACACGTAAATAATTAGATACATTGTAACGTTTCATCATGGATATTGATAATGTTTTAAAATAATAAATTTATTAATAATTTACACAAACTTTATGCATTTGATATCTTAATCAACCTGTGTATAGCCAAATCGAGGAACGGAGCAACCGGGGGGGGGGGGGGGTAAATGTTAAAATAGAAATAGGTACCACATATAACGTAGAAAACAAGTGCTGCGTTTAATGTTTATTCCTCATATATACATGCACGAGGGGTATTAGAAAAGTTTGCGGACAAGTTCTATTGTAAGCGCGCTATTTCCACGAAACCGGTCAAACTTTTCCAGATAAAATCTTAACCTTTTTTCCAATTGATATACCAGAATTTGGTGCTCTCCGGCGATTATTGAAAAATATAGAGCTTTTTTATTTTGATAAAACTTGCTTCACGGAGCATGCCACATTTTGTCAAGTTTACAAAGACTCTTTATTAAATCAAAAATTGAACAATTGTAGCGCAAAGACATGTATGATATTTTACCTGCCGCTAAAGCATGCAGGAAACGTCACGTGGAGACATTTTGAACTAAATTGGAGGGTATATGACTGTTTTATAGCCGTTTATAAATGATCAATGCGTAAAAACACAGCCAAAAATCGGAACGTCATTGAGCGTCATGGAGCACTGCACTACGTAAAAATTTTGTGTGCAGTCAGGAAAATGTCTAAAAAGAGATTAGAATGTTCAAGATGCTGCCGGAAATTTCCTACATATGCAAAGAAGTTTTCAAATGGTTGTAGCTTGATAAGAATGGAAGGAGTACATTCTGAATGATTAACTTCATCGATACTTCAATACCCCCCTTATCGCATGGACGTTGCGTTGCGCCTATATGGTTTTGCATAATTTCCATACCTGATTAACTGCATAGACTTTTTTTTATTTTATAAGATTTCAATTATATCCGAATCAATACAAAATATATTATAGTAGAAAAGTGATATGTCTTGATATAGATATTCAATTTTAAAGTAGAACAAGATGTGTTTGTAAAACACTGATGCCCCCGTATGGCAACATAGCAAAGATTAAGCTTTTCTTAAATGCAAATTTAATTAATTGGTACCAAAAGTTGGGTATTCTCACTGGAAAACAATTGTGAAATTTGAAAGTAAGCTAATGTTAAAGTTTTTTAATAAGTACAAAAATCTTCAAGGTCAAGGTCAAAAGGTCAATGTAATTAGAATCAAATGAAAGGCCTTGCCACATAGAATACTTAAGTAGAGCATGAAAGTCCTAGCCCTAACCGTTCAGAAGTTATGGTCAACGTTCAATTTCTTATATTTACATTCAATGTAATTTTCCTTATGAAATCCATTAGAAATCTATGACGTTCAAATTCCTATAACACACGCGAAACCTTAATTGTCACCGCGCATTAGAATACACAGTAGGGACTATATGCATTTTCAATACTCTAGGAACACCAAAATGTAAACTGTTTTATTTCAATTGAATGAAAAACTACAACCCTGAAAAATTAACGTTAAAATTAACGTAATCTGCGTGAAGAATTAATTTGTCACTTTTTTCTTCGCAATGTTTGATGCGTTATTTAACTTTGCTACGCCATTTAACGTCATTTGACGTCACAAACGGCTCTTACATTTATTAATCACTGCAGTTTTGAAAGGGCGCTAAATTCACATTTAAGATTAACGAAATAAGCAAATATGAAGAAGGAAAATTAGAGAATGTAAACATAAGCATTGAATTCACACGGTATAAGCATTGAATAACGCGCGGTATAATAATTTGTCGGCATGGCCAGGTGTGTTATAGGACCGAAGACATCCAAAAATATGAATTCAATGCTTAAAAAAGGTCAAACCTCAAGGTCAAGGTCAAAGGGTCAAAGGTATTGTTATCAAATGAAAGGTCTTGTCATAAGGATCAAATATGTAAAGTATTAAAGCACTAGCCCTAAGTCTTTAAAAGTTATGGTCAAGGTTTGCTTTTTAAAACTAAGTCAATCTCAAAGGTCAAGGTCAAAGGGTAAAGGATCTTCATATCCAATTAAGAATCTTTTCACCAGGATTACATATATGAAGTATGAAAGCCATATCCCTTACCGTTCAAATGTTATAGCCAAAGTTGAAGTTATTACAAAAATATGGAAATCTACAAGGTCAAGGTCAAAGGGTCAAGGTAGTTAATATCCAATGAAAGGTCTTTTAGCAAACATTACATATGTGAAGTATAGATGTCCTGGTGTCTACAGTTCAAAACATATGGCCAAAGTAAAATTTTAAAAAATTTCTTAAAAAGTTGGTCAAACTCCAAGGTCAAGGTCAAAGGGTCAAAATTATTGTTATCAAATGAAAGGTCTTGTCATAAGAATTTAATATGTAAAGTATGAAAGCACTAGCCGTAAGTTTTTGAAAATTCTGGTCATGGTTTTCTTTTTTAAAGTAGGTCAATCTCAAAGGTCAAGGTCAAAGGGTCAAGTATCTTCAGATCCAATGAAGTGTCTTTTCATAAAAATAACATATATGAAGTATGAAAGCCCTATCCCTTACCGTTCAAAAGTTATGGCCAAGGTTAAGGTTTTTTCCCAAGTACAGAAATCTACAAGGCCAAGGTCAAAGGGTCAAGATTATTGAAATCCAGTGAAAGTTCTTTTAAAAAGCTATACATATATGAAGTATAAATGTCCTGGTGTCTACTGTTCAAAAGATATGGACAAAGTAAAATTTTAAATTTTTCATGTAAAAGTAGGTCAAACTCCAAGGTCAAGGTCAAACGGTCAAATTTGGTAGTACCCAAAGAAAGGTCTTGTCACAAGGAATACATATATGAAATATGAAAGTCATA